TTGGCTGTAGCGTATTTAGCACCGGTTGCAATGAAGGCTGTATTTGATGAAGTTTTTTTTTTCAAATACGTAATTGCAATATGTTGTACTATGAGTTGCAAGCACTTTTACAACACAATTGCAACTTGGTTGTAGCGTATTTATCATTATTTAATGGTTGCAACTCGTTAATATATTGTACAATTACTTCTACAACACAAATTTGCAACAAAGTTACTACCCGATTTGGTTGCACCAATTACTACACGATTGCAACTAGTTACTACTCAATTGCAAACCAATTACTACCATTGCAACTCGTTAGATATGATTGCAACTCGAGACCGATTGCAACTTGGCGTGATTATAGTGACCATATGCTTATAATACACAGAGTTATAACTAGTTGCAACTAGGTGGTAGACAGAGTTGCAATCGGTAGTACATTGACATGCAACTCGCTTAAAGGATAAAAAATATATCCATATTGGATCTAGTTTTGTTCAGAATATTTTTTGAGTCGGATACAACAAACGGTTTGTCAATCGGGGTTACGGTTTAGGAGAAAATTTGTTTCAAAGATTTGAACCAACAAAAAATTCCATGCATGCACATATGCAGTCTAGTAGGATTTGTATGCTAGGTGGCTTTACGTGGTAGGTGGAAGATATATCTTAACTTAGGGAAGCATGCACTGCATTTTCGCTTGGGCACGCTGGTTGCTCCAAGTTGGTGCGCCCACTTACTTTGGGTGAATTCTATATACAGGATGTACCTGTGTATTATAGCAAAATAGTATATATAATGATTCGAAAACCAAAGACACCGGTCCACACCTGGGTACAACTTCGAACCCTTTTGTCCAATCGTGCTTGTTTCTTGCACATTTGTATTTGGAACACGGTCCTTAGACTGACTCTAACGATGAGGACCCAAATACAACACCTATTACTTGATTTGGGTCCGACACGAAAAAAGGTCACCACCCAAAGTTAGCCTTCTCCAACAGAACGCCCCCGACCTCCACTCTCGAGCACCCCGCCCATTCCCGAGCACCCCGCCTCTCCTCGCCACCGCACCCCCCTCCCTTCTTCTTCCCGGCCCTCCTCTCCCGACCGGATCCGGCCTCCTCCCTTCTTCTTCCCCGCCGATCTAGCCCTCCTCCCGGCCCTAGATATTTCTGTCGAGATATTTACGCCATGGTCGCTCCCGGCGAGGCCGCGCCCGAGAGCTCAAGGAGTGGGCGCCCAGACGCCTAGCCGCGCTTGGAGAAGCCGCCATGGCCGCCCGCCCATGCGCCATCCGTGGCCCCGAGCCGAGAGCCCTACTGGGGCCACGCCGAGGAGCACCTCGGCGGATCCGCCCTCCTCCTCTTCTTCTTCTCCGGCCGGATCCGCCCCTCCTCCCTTCTTCTTCCCCGGCCCTTCCGGTGGCGGCCGGATCCGACCCTCCCTCTCCCGGCTCTCCCTCTCTCGGATCCGGTCGGTGGCGGCCGGTGGTGCGTGGCGGCGGCGGTGGTGGTGGCAGACGGCTGTGGTGGTGGTGGTGGTGGCCGGCGGTGTGGTGGTGGTGGCCGTCGTGCTCGCTTCTTCTTCACCAGCCCCCCACCGCTGCGTCCCACCGTCGCCACCTTTGTCGGAACCGAGCGCGCGAGCCGAGCTCTCACCGCCGCCAGCCGTGCTATGCTTCTCCTCCACCCACCATCGCTATGCTTCCCACGCACGGCGCCATGGTCCCGCCTGCCGCCGTGGATGGCGCCATGTCCCAGCACCAACAACAAAGCTTCGCGTGGAGGAGACGCAAAGGGACGGAGAGAGAGGACGCAAGTTTGGGTACCGTGTTGCCTCCGACGCAAAATGCTTCCCGTGTTTGGGTACTCCGTTGGGGTGTTTTTTTTATCGCAAAAGCATTGTGCACTATGCATTTTGGGGATGGGTCACGGTTTGCCAACACCGTTGGAGAGCGATCTTACACCCAGCGGCGTGGCCGGCGCTAGCTATTATACGCAGCGTGGAGCGACACGGATGGGTGAGCACAGATGATGCGCATTTAACGAGGGCAAGGCCGTGAGCCCGAAGGAACGAGTCCATGTGCATGCAGGTCGGATGTGCGTATAGACGTATACGTAGATGGAGAAGGTAGATAAGGAGAGATAAAAGAAAAAATAAGTAAGATAAAAAAATAAGAGAAAGAATATAAAAGGATACTACAGACATTTCACCGCTTTCAACAACTAGGTGAATATGTTGTAACAAATATTTTTCTGAGACAGCATCAGCTATACCAGTGAAGATGCTCCACCGTCCGAAGCCAAAAAATAAAAAACTGCCCCACCGATGAAGCGGAGCTGTACCATACATACTTTTATTATATCCGTCTAAGCCACAAGGCACGTGTGTCGCGGTAGACGAGGATAAAAAATCGTGACCCCATGCAACGCACGGGCATATATCTAGTTGTGTATACAAGGGTGGATCTAAAAACACCATCCGGGAAGGGCTAATTAGTAAAGGACCGCTTGGGCTGGCTGCGGTGGATCCCGCCCCTGTACACTAGGTATCCAATATGCTAGCGCACCGTCATGAAAATTGAATAACATGCTTCTCCATGAAGCTGCTAGGACCAGGAGAAACACAGGAGTACCAAAACGACACCATCCTTTTCTAGTTTCCACTTTTCCGTTCCAGAGAAGAAGAGAAAACTGAATGGCCAGTGGCCACAAAAGGAGATGCACGGCACGGCACCTCGTGGTAGTGGCTAAGCTAGTCGTCTGCCTGTCGTGTGCTGTGGCAGTGTGGGGACCGGGAACGAAACTTCACCAAATATAAACAGACATCTGCATTGAAATCTAAAACAAGTTGTTGTTGTTTAAAGAAAATGGATCGTGATAACATCTTATTATTGATAAAAAAAAGTTTCTTTTTAAATTTTCCTAAACTATGTGCATAAAAAGAAACTTGACTTTATTCACTAGCAACGTGTCTTAGATTGATGCACTAGCAACATAAGATGTCTGTTAAAAAGAAACTTTATGCACTAGCAACAGCCGCCAAGCCTCTACATTTTCGTTTATCAAAATGGTAATATCCCATTGTTCATTACTTTTAAGCAAAAGGGACATGTTTAGTCTGCGCTATAATTTTTGTAGGGCTGTTGTTTGTTCTCTTAGACCAATAAAATTTATTTTTTTAGTTAAATCTAATGTGTCAAACATATTGTTAAGCATATACTTATTTAAAAAAAGGTCGAGTTGTGTCAAACATGTTCACCTGCGTGGTTAGGTTGAGACGTAGCTCATAGAAGCATTGGGCCTGTTTAGTTGGTGGCTTCATGAAATTACTTGAGCGAGACATCCATCCCAAAGACACCTAGGCTAGGATCTATCATCTTTGCAGCTATCTGTCAAGTCTCTAACCAAACACGCTCACCATGTGTGAGGATTTGCCACGGATATATGACACGCGCCTATATGTAAGTATCTAACTCGCTGAGAGGGTCGGATATTAGCTCTCGATAGAGGGAGGCTCGAGGAAGGGGAAAGAAACGGAGGATAGGGGAAGACAAAAGTATAGCTCAGAACTATGATTATTTAATCGATTGGTTCAAAATCTATAATTGCTTATCTCCTTTCGGAGCTGTTCTCCAACTTATACTCCTCATGTTATACATGTGCGCGGGCAAGCACACACAAAGCTTAAGGCTAAGGCATTCAAGACCATTCGAAGAACTCCTACGAGGCCCATTGCCAGTGCCTCAACACCAAGTGCTTCTTCACTATTATCTTCAACGTCTCTAGAAGTGATAACACTATAGTTTTTCTAAATTTATGTAATAGCATTTTAACCGTCCTTCTTAAGTTATGAGTGTTGAATGCTCGTGTATGGATACTTATAGTGGATTCACACGGCGCGTCTGTACCCACTCAATTTTCCACCTCCACAACTTTATCTGCTACCCACTCCACGCTAGTACTAGGAGGTGGTTAGCCTTCTCTTCTCCTGTGTTGATCCTGATGTATCACAACAATGTGGACTAAGGGCTTGTTTGATACAACTCAGCTTCACTACTAGTGAAGCTAAAGCTGTTTTTATAAACGTTTGTTTTTAGGGAAGATAGCAAAGAAAAAACTGAAGAAGCTAGTATGTTTTTAGTTCCATCCAGCTTTACCTAGAGAAATGTGCAAGTGAAAGGATCTGAAAAATAATTTTTTAGACAAAAGCTATTTTTGATCCAAATTCGTTTGGCAGGAGAAGTTGAAAATAACTCGGTAAGGCTATCTTCAACAATAGCATCGAAAATACAAGATCCATTCGTCCTTTGGGTAGTGTTACAGACAAAAGGTTCACCGACATCTTCTCCAACAATAAGACCCAAAAGAGAATCCTTTCTACAAATGAGTTTCTAGGAGAGATGATGCTCATATTTAGGTTGTGCCTCTCAGACAACCCAAAATAAGTCTTCCATATAATTACTCTATTAAAAACTAATTTTAGATTTCTTACTGTCCATTTTGAGTTCGATACCCATACGGTTCCTCGTCGAGGACAGTCTGAAGCTGGGAAAGAAGTCGCAGCAAACACGCATGTCCCCGTATGCATCCACAGATTACACATACGCTTCAATCTCTGGACACGTGCCTCAAGTCTCACCTCACAGTCGCAGGACAGACACGCCCCAAAGGCCCAGGACAGCGTTCCAACTTCCAAACGCCCAAGGGATCCAGCCCGCCAGGCACGCGCGCCCCACGTGAGGCGCGAGATCCATGCAACGGTTCGTGTCACACCACGCCAAAGCCCGCACCGCGGACGGGCCTCACCCGGACCCACACCGCAGAGACTGAAGCTGGCACGCATAAACTGTGGGGTTGCTCTCGTTCTCTCCGCCGGCCCACTCGTCACTCTCCCTCGTCTGTCCTCTGTCGTCTCCCTCCTCCACTTCCAGTTCCAGAGAACAGGGGAAGGCGCCGGCGATAGGCGGGAGCAGCGTGGAACGGTTGAGAGGGCCCCCTCGGATCGCCGGAGATGCTGCCCTACGCGACGGCGGCGGAGGCGGAGGCGGCGCTGGGCCGGGCCATGACGCCCGCCGAGGCGCTGTGGTTCCGCTACACCGCGGGGGTGTCCGACTACCACCTGTACTGCTGCAACATCCTCTTCCTCTTCGTCGTCTTCACGGTGGCCCCGCTCCCCTTCGCGCTCCTCGAGCTCCGGGCCCCGGACGCGGTCTCGCCGTACAAGCTGCAGCCGCGGGTGCGGCTCTCCAGGGCCGAGTTCGTCCGCTGCTACAAGGACGTCCTCCGCATCTTCTTCCTCGTCATCGGCCCGCTCCAGCTCGTCTCCTTCCCGATGGTCAAGGTCGGTCGGTTCCCTTCCATCCTTCTGTGCTCTCGGTCGGTGATTCCGCGCAATGCGCCTGGTTAGTTCTTGAGATTACGGCCTCTTGGGGGCGGATTCAGTACAAGAGATCGCGTTTCCATACTGTTCTTGTGCTCTTCTTAGACAAGAAAGAATTCCAATTACATTTCTCTGCATGTTTTCCTCCCCTTTGAGTGAGAACTTCCTGATCTGGGTTCTGCACCAAGAACCCTTCTTAGATGCGCCCTATCTAGAAGATTCCCCTCAGTTCGCCTAGTCTTGGAAAGCAGAAGAAATTTCCTTCCCTGCATTTCTTTCATCGTGCTAAAATTGTATTCTCATATACAAAAATATTGACTTTTCTTTTAATCAAATCAGTTGGTGGGAATTCACACGAAGTTGCCTTTGCCGTCCCTGGCGGAGATGGCAGCACAGCTGCTGGTGTACTTCCTTGTTGAGGACTACCTCAATTACTGGATCCACAGGCTTCTCCACGGGGAGTGGGGGTACCAGAAGATCCACTGCGTCCACCATGAGTTCACCGCGCCAATCGGATTCGCAGCTCCATATGCACACTGGGCTGAGGTGCTGATACTCGGCATCCCCTCCTTCATCGGGCCAGCCATTGCTCCAGGCCACATGATCACATTCTGGCTCTGGATTATACTCCGTCAGGTGGAGGCTATCGAGACGCATAGTGGGTAAGGACTTTCTCTTGTCTTTCCCATCTATGGAGCACTTTATGGTTTATGCACAACAATTGAATTCATTTAACATGCTTTTGTAATTATTTTATATTATTGTGCAACATTGTATTGCTTTTGCATGGGTTAGTCTTTGTTGCTAGTGATGGATGTAGTTTATGGGTGGAGTTCCTGGGTTACTGTGGTGTGCACAGCACTGACAATGACCTGAGTGAATGGAGTTTCTCGCCAGGAGTTTTTCATTGATCCTACCCCAACTTGCTTGGGACTGAAAGGCTATGTTGTTGTTGTTGGAAGCTGATTTGAACTGATGTTGTTATCTGCATAACTGATAGAATTGCCTGAGAGTTCTTAGCCAGCTGTTTACAGTTGAAGGTTTTTTAGTCGATACTTCTTTGGGGTATTCCCTGGTAATGAAGAAAGTATACAGCATGGATTAGCATTGGCTGCTGCTCTGTGGTAATAGGAACAAAAATACACTTAACAATTTTGAAGCTGTAGTTGAAATTTCCCAAATTACAATGTTGCTGCACATTCTTGACTATGGTGGCTAACCTAGTCTTGCCACGCTTTTCTGGCAAGAAAAAGAATCACCTAAGTTTAGGCATAGTTAGGCAAGAAACCTGAGTAGATGTGGGTGAGGATGCTAAGAAGTTAGCCAGCCTAAATTGTGGAGGAATAAAACACTGCCTACTAACTGTGGATGCCTAAGGTTAGGCATGGCAGATTTGAATTAAACTTTTGTTACGTGCAGTTTCACTCTACTAACAAAATGGATACGGCCTATCAATCCGTAAAGGAATGTTTGAAATGATTCTACTACAAAGCTTTGCAAAATCTAAATAACAACGTTTATGCTCGCTATGAAGTATGAATGGAATTAACTCCTGCAGGAAGAGAAAAGTGTAATATGCTTACTTGCAGCTTGAAAAATTCAGGATTTACTGATTCAATACTTTGCTGCAGTTGCACTTGTATTACTCACTATCTAAGTGGGTCATGTTGGAGCAATTATCCTTCTTGATTTATATCTTAGTGGATAGGAAATTATTTTTTTGTTATCTTGGATGTTTCTACTCACAGGCAATATTGTCTCAAGTCTCAACTTATGCCATTAGCTGGAGTACTATGACCTTTCAACACACAGTATTTATGTTTTTCTTTTTGATAAAAAGGGCACACTAGTTACTCTTCGTATTGTCATGTTGTAATGGTACATTTCTTGTCCCTATTTTTAGGTGGAGATGATAAAAAATCCTAGTTTCACTATATATGGTTGAAGTTAACTACCATGCCACCAGAATGACCTGTTGTCCCGTTGGCTTGTGCTATGATAGGACCGAGGTCTACCGATACCATACATATCACATTGGTCTTTTTTGTTTGCCCAACCTTTCTATACGATTGAAGTTAACTACCATGTCACAGTGTCACCAGAATTACTTGTTGGGGGACTGAAATTCTACTGATATCACGCATATCACATTGGTTCTTTTTGTTTGCCCAACCTTTTGATACAATCCAGTTATGCTTTGTTTAATATTATACATTTCACCATCCCAGCTAGGACTTACCTTAGTTTGTCCTGTTCTGTGCTAGGTACTGCTTGTTATATTTCGCTGTGATCAATGAAACTGTCCATGATAGCTACTTTTTTTTGTGCAGCTTCTATAAGGGGAAAACATAACTTGTTTTGTCGTTTTGCAGCTTTGATTTCCCATTCACCCCGACAAAGTATATTCCATTCTATGGAGGAGCAGAATACCATGACTATCATCATTATGTAGGAGGCCAGAGCCAAAGCAATTTTGCTTCTGTTTTCACTTACTGTGATTACTTATATGGGACTGATAGAGTAAGTTTCTCCTCTACACACAGTTTGAAAGGTGGTACTAAGAAGTGATGGAATATCAGATTTCTAATCTTGAGTTCTTTGTTCTTTCAGGGCTACAGATTCCACAAAGCATACCTAGCGAAGGTATTTTTTCTACTGTTGACTGTTTTCAAACATTTTTCCATTCTAGCTTAGAAATAACAAGGAGTTCCCAGATGTTCCCAATGTTAGTTATTGAGTTGATCAAGTAGCTGATTTTTTATTTGTCCTCCCCTCGATGCAGCTGAAGGATCTGGGGCAAAATGATGGCAAAAAAGGAGATGGCAACGGACTCAGCTATGTGAAATTGGATTAGATTGCAAGATACAGTGCATCTCGAGTGTTTCTATGACCATCCACTTCACTGTGGCATTTCGAAATGGGAGATATACTGAGTTGGGCTGGTCACGTGTGTTATGATTTCGCTTTCAGCTGTTCTGCCTTCTTTTTCCTAGTGTTTGTGAAATTCTATGGAACTTGTATGCTGACGAATAACACCACAACTCTCAGAGTAGCCGTTCATCGAGTTTGCTCCATGCTTTGATTAAATTAGATCAATTGCTGTATAGTTTTTAAGTGTACTATTATATTGTTTTTAAGTTTTTAACTATGTACTCAAACACAACTTTTACCGGACCACGACAAGTAAAAAAATTACAAGGTAAAGAAACTTTCATTCAACTTTTCAGAAACTCGAAATTTACAATTACCAGGGTGCACCGGGATATGTTTTACAACTCTCGCATTGTTGGCCTGTTGTTTAGGCCACTCTGGCACTCTCCCATGTTGGCCTGATTGTTGTTTATTAGGCAATTCTCCCATTGTTGTTTACACATTGCAACACAGACTCCCTTGCTTGACAGTAACTTGCCTGATTGTTGTTTAGGCAACACGTAATTTTGCCATTGTTTGATTAAAAAACTATAAATTATCTCTTATATATTGCTCTTTTAATTATACTAGTTAGTTGTTTAAAATTGTTGCATAAAAATTCGAGCACCCAAAATATAGCAACTCCCATAATTTGCACAGGGAGCTCCGGCACATCGAAAGTCACAAGAATCGTTTTTTCCACGGGCGCAACCAGCAGCACATGTTCTGATGCTCCAGTTCGAATAATATTAAAAACTCACAGGATGAATTTGAGTTCATAAGGGCAGATATCCCCGTCTTCAAACATTACCATCATCAGAACATCGGAGTCAAGTAGCAAATCCAGAATTACAAATACTGCTGGCGAGTTACGAATCTGAAATATCTATAATGATTACGGTTTAGAAATGCATAAAGCAAACAAAAATAAGTGTTCTTGACACACTGGGCTGAAAATAGCAGTCATCTGAACAGCCCTTAGACGTCCTTCAGAAACGGCGAGGGGGGAACCGGTCCATGAGACTCACAGAGGGACACTCATAAGCCATGTGGCCACGGCCGCCACAGTTGTGACAGATCATGAAGGCACCAGCCATGCAGTCACGACTCATATGGCCAATCTGGTTGCAGGCCCGGCAGATCACGTCACTGAAGTCACCACGGAAGGGAACGCCAACACCACGGAAGGAAGCGCCAACACCGCGGAAGGGAGGAGGTCCACCCCTCTCACCCAATGTATCAGACTTGGGGCACTGACGGGCCAGATGGCCAGCAACATTGCACAGGTTGCAAACAGGATCATTGGTGCAGTTACGGGCAATATGGCCACTCTGCCGGCAATTGTTGCAGGCCTTCTCATTGGTACATTCCTCACGAAAATGCCCTGGTTTGTAGCAGTTGCTGCAAAGGATCACTTCTCCTGGCGGCACTGGTGGAGCAGTGCAGTCTTTTGCAATATGGCCGGACTTGCCACAGTTACGGCATATCCCTTCATTTGGGCAACTGTTAGCCATGTGGCCAGGCTCTTTGCAGTTCCAGCAAATACCTTTGGAAGAACATTCAGCTGCAATGTGCCTGCAACATTAAAACGAATTTAAGTATGAAAAAGCGATATCAGCTCAAGAGATAAACATAGCCATAGTGCAGCCTTCCTAATCACATGGAACTACAACGCCTTACAGTTATGCTTCAAGGCCTTTGTAATTATTAATCAACTAAAATATCATAAGAATCAAATCAAATCCTTAATCAGGTCCTATGCAATAAGAGGCTAAAACAATAAAGCCTTGCTTGCATATATGGATTAACTTCACTAGACAAATGATGCTAGAAGTGACATTCAGGATGACATGAACATTCAAAACAATAACATAAGCTAGAACATGGAGTTTGTCCTCCTAGGGAGACACGAACCCCATGTCCACACTACTGAGGATGCATAAAATGCCCAATAATGGTTAAACATAGCTTCACCGCAAATCATGAAAGAATTCAAAAGAGCACCAATTGAGATGGTTTGATATAGCATGGGCACAGAGTTATAATTCTACGTAAGGTATCGCTAGAATGGTTGTGCTACAATGATTAAAAGTATGATAGGCATTGCAAGCAAAGTGCACTTGCATGATTAAAATATTAAAACTAATAACATATAAGAGCATGAATCTGTGCAAGCAGAATAACACAAAGTTATTACCCAGGAAGCCCGCAGGTATGGCAGACAGCCACGCTAGGGCACTCTCTAGCAAAATGCCCAGGACGCTTACAATTGTTACACAAATCATTACGAAACCTGCACAAGTGGTAAGGGAAATAACTAAAGGATACATAACCTTCTCAAATGTCTGAATAATAATATATTACAGTTCCATTCGCATAAATTGTTTAGTAATTTCACCATTCTTGTCATGACCCATGTCTAGTTACAATTCCACACAGAGGCTTTCTCCTAAAACCATGCCACAACATGAATTCATCCAAAAAATTTCAATCCCAAATCACTTTACCATACTATATTACATTGTTTTACTAGAGTTTCAGATAAATTATTGCTATCATTAACCAGTATCAAGTGCCCTTGTTTATGCTACATACATGAACAAGTGATTACAATGGGATAAATATAGGAAAAAGTTATATCTAAATCAAATAAACAATTATGGTTATTCTACCACCCACGAACTTAAACCTTGTGCACGACCCCATTCAAATAACATTTAGCCAAATATATACATTATAACGAGAGGAGGCGATGTTTGGAAGAACAATGCCAAACACTCGTCCTGTTTGACTTAGATTAGCTCAAACCTGCTTGGACCATGGCGGCTGTCCCTCCGATATGGTGCGTCACGGTATGAGGTGCGTTCGGTACGCATCCTGCGATCCTTCGGCGGCGGACTGCGGCTGCTCATCACCAAATCTTCCCTCTAAACTCCAAGTTCCAACCAAACTGCAACACCATGCTACAAAATCACCACCTTCGATACTCCAACAAACACCACAAACCTCTAATCTTCTTTCTGTCCACAGCAAAACACCAAAACCGGACTAAAATCGAATCCTATGTGGGCTATGTCCCACCCACCAACCTTCACTATGAGCATGCTCAAGTTCCCACGGCAGGTCACAAGGGTGGACCCTGTAAGGCCTTGTTTGGAAGCCTATGGAACAATGTGGTTCGGGGGCAGATCCACATCATGTGGGGTGTGAAACCCATGCCGGGGAGGAAACTGTGTCATGGGCTAAAAGAGCATTTGGCAACGACGTGGGTTGGATTTGTTCTAGTCCAATCCACTTCTCCCTTCCACCTCTTCCCTCTCCCTCTCCTCCCTTTGTGCTAGGGTTTTACATGGTGAATCGCTTGCTCCTGTCATAGATACATGGAGAATGCACAAGGCTGCACTGGGATGCCATGTGGCTCATATGCTTCCAGCTTCCAGCCCGAACGAGCATGATGTTTGGGACACCTCCAGCCAGGAGAGGCAAAAACCAGCCTCGTCCTAGTGCCTCTTTACAATCCTCAGTACTATTTTCGTTGGGGACATATTACTAGATTTTTTGGGTCAATTTTGTACTGTTCCCATCATCGTGATAAATTGGTTCTCTGATAGTATTAGAAAACTTTTTTTTCTCTCCAAACCATAAAAATGTTTTGCCGTTTCAGCAATAGAACTTTCAGAAGATAGAGAAACCAATGCCAGTGGATTAAAATGGCTCAGTTTTTGGTCCTCCAAGCTTCTAATACAGTAGTACTGGTAAATATTAAGTGTAGTACTGATTAGTATCACTAGTTGGTTTCATGCTGTGCTAGTATATTATTTTCTAAATGTATGGTGATCAGATTATTTTGAGATTTTTCTCTTTGATATTCAGTCCATTTTATTTGGATTAAATATCCTAGTGGTTAGTGCTAAATTGATACTTTCACAGAGTTTTTGTAATTTAGTAATTCTCAATTTTAGCTGAAATTTTCTGTGGACAGTATGCTGGAAGAACTTAACACAGAGCTATTTATGCATATATGTTCAGTGGTCAAGCAAAACCTTGTTTTTCACTTTTCCCGAGTACAAGCAAAAAGCATGTTTTTGTCCAGCACTCTTTTGTTATGTACTGATATAACACCAATTTATTTTTCTTTTAGAGGAGCACTGGTTTAATTTTGCTTAGGCCCCAAAACGAAATCTTGAAATCATTTATTGTTAGTATCTCAATAGAGGCGTCTCTTTGCAAAATGCAAATCGTGAAGTTTTTAGTCATCATTTTTTTACTCAAACAAATGCTTTATTTATCTTTGTTTTTGCAGTTCAGAGTTCCTTAGCCACTGTGACCACTTTTTATTGATTCATTTGTGCTCTCAGTCTCTCAGAGTGCATAAACTGCCGCTTCATAGCCCACCTCTCAGCTTCGGCAATGTCAGTCTTAGTTGACAGATTATTTGAGTTGCTGTTGTTGCCTATTTCTACTTTTATAATTATTCTTCTAAGAAAGTAAGTTTGGTATATTGACCAAGTTGCTTTGTGTTGGGCCTAACTAGACACAATGTCTAGTGTATTACTGAGTCAAGTTGTCTCTTTTACGTGATACTCATTTAGTATCTTATTATGCAAGGGGTAAATGTTACGATTTTTTTCTCCATAATAAATCATGATACTGTATCTTGTTTACTACACTGATTTTATCATGTACACAGCCAAATGGTCTAAAACTTGCCTGAGCCATGAGCCAAATACTGAGATACATGCAAATCCATATCAATCGAAGCCTATCCCAAACTAGCAATCAAACAAAATGGATTAGGTCCGACCAGGCAAGGAGGCGATTGAGTGATGGGAGAGGGACCACCCAATCCCCCTATGGACTGATTCTCCTGTGGATTGTATTGTACCCCGAACTTGCAAATGAAGCCTAAAGGGACAGGTACGCATGATAATTTTTGCAAAAAGT